CCCAAAATTAGCAAGAAACAGCATCCAACATCACAGTCGCAAAATGACTGTAAAGTAGTATTATTTATAATTTTGAATATAATAAAATATATGCAATTTGTTTACGCAACTGTTAAAGCGTCAGTCAATATTTCGATTTACTTAAATTTTGGCAAATATTTTATACTACAATTTATATATTATATTACGCATTTGTACAAAATAACGCAAAATGCTCTTCAATGAAACTCCAACACATTCACTTACACGCATTCATTTACTATCTTTGTTGCAGTTGTTGTTCTTTTAGCTACTTAACCACACAAGTAGTCACGTGCTTTGTTAGCCATGCTGCAGTGCCTTTGTTTTTTCGTTTTTGTTTTTTTTGTTGTTGTTGTTTTTAACTGATTACGATATGTATCTCTTGCGGTTCCTCAATCTATGAAGTGTTGCTTGCTGTGTTCTGCTTCTGTTCCCGCTTCATGCACTCGGCTGACGTCAATGAGCTTTTTCATCGATTTTTTACGCTCGTTAGTATGTAGCGTTCATACCCCAACACCGTCCTCAGTTTCCAAACAGATGTCTGACTCCTAGTACTCATATATGTATGTGGCATACATAGACTAAATGTTGGGAAGTTGCGGCAAATACTTAGCCATTTATACAATTACAAATATATTGTGTAGATAAGCGTGTAAATATATTTATATGCATTGCCATATATATGTGCATACGCTGGTAGCTTTGATTGCATATTAACAACTTTGTTTTCGGGAGTGTATTGTTTGGGTCTAGTAAATGCTGAATTGTTGTTGTAAACATAATTACAATGTATGTTTATACACATCGATTTGTCGTGACAAACAATTAAATAACAAATTGTGTAAAAAAATAAGCAAATGGAACAAATAAGTTCTTATTTATTGATAGGTTAATGAAAAAAAACTCCTTAAATTAATAATAATAATAAATATTAGCTAAGGAGTCCACTTAGAAGTCTTACACTGTCAGTAATCATAGAGTGCATGCTAGGTTCGAGTTCATATTCGTTGTATACCTATAACCTTGAGTTATACCGTTTTGATGGCGTACTTGTAAATACTTTAACTGCGTAGTATTGGATTACAAAACAGCCCAAAACTTTAATTAACTAGTTAATTTTACTTTCATTTATAAACTTTAAATATTTGCGTACTTCGTAAAATCGGAAATTAAAGACGTCATTTTAGCTGCGTGCGTGACCTGACTAATCGAAGCTGACAACCCGATGACTTTCAAAGAAGCTATCATATTTGTCAGCAGCCGCAGCCGCTGCTGCCTGACTTTTATTTTTGACGTATTAGAGTATTACTGCTTTCTGTAAATTACCATATAATTGACTATGGCATGGAATAGCGCTTTATCTTGACAGACGTTAGAATGATTTTCTTGGTTTTACTACGTCCATTCACGTTCTGGTAAATACAATTGCCTGCAATTAACTTGCATTTTCATTGATATTTTCCGATTATAAAGAAATTTTCTTAAACGTAATGTTTACTAACTAAAGCCAGTCTTTCTCTGAAGGTGCACAACAAAAGCTTAAATATACTAATATTTTCTTGTTAATTAAAAGCTTATAGCGTCATTCGACGTAAGTTATATCGAAAATATATTTTACCGTTAAGTCTAATGCTGCAGGTTAAGGTGAATATAGAAAGATCTATGTGTTAGGGAGCCGGAATTAAATGTCTTCTATACATTTTTATACTTCTAAGCGTGTTCTTCCATAAAATAATCCTAAGCCTTATGTAAGCTGTGTACAAAAATTCCGTCTTGGCTTTGCTTTATAAAAACAACATCAGCAATCTGTTCACTACAGACGGCAATGCTGCCCTTTCTCTTTTTTCTCTTCGCCATGCTTCTAGGAGACATCAGGAGTACTTTCACCCTATACAAGAACAGAGTCATTGTATGGAGTGTCATTCGATAAATTGATACTTGGACTTTACTGATGACATTTGTTTCTTATAGTATAAATTCTCTGACATCCAAGAAAATATCAGTAAAATAAATTGAGCTGGGACGCACTTAATATAAAAACCGAAAAAAACGAAAGTCGTGAAAATAATATCATGCACTCCAGATGAAAGTTAATAAATATTGCTGAAAACAAGATCGAGTTCGACGATAGATTCAAGCAACTACAGCAGAGGATACCAACTCTAGGATGAGCAAGACATAAGCGGCGTTTGGACGACTGCAATCAGTGTATGTAAGCTTATAAAATGAATGACCCTGGACAGTATCGCGAAGTAGTTGACTGAACTAAGGAAACAGAAATCACCGCTAACCGAAAATCACATGGAGAACGTAGGCACTGCGCGAACTAGTTGATGCTTACAGCCCTTAGTTCTCCAGAGAGGAAAATATCAAGAAGAAAACCAAACAAATAAATAAATGGAAATGAATGAAATGAGTTTGTAAAACAAAAATTTAATTATTTCCATATTTGGTTTTGCTTTTCCTGGTAAGACCATGAGTGTTCGAAGGCAGCGTCAGCTATTTACTCGCGCTGCACTTGTACTGCATGGTAAAGATTCATTAATTTTTAAACTTCTGTAAAAACCCACGTAGTATTGACTGATAATTGCACGTATTACGCCAATAATAATGAAAACACAGCACATCGATTGATAATACTTTAATCTATCATTTCTGTTTAAGTATAACACAACAAGTCATAAGTGACTTGGACGGAAAGCAATTGCAATGCATATATCCGCACTCAGCCACTAATGCCTCTTTAGAGGAGTAATTTGTAGGTGTACTTCGCCATCTTCAAAACCTAGAAGTCGTCAGTTATTACAGGCAAAAATGGCATATGTAAAATACATCTGTTTTTACTACTATACTTACACTATATAATATGTAAAATATATAGATATGTTACATATGATATATATTTATATGAAATTATACTAGCAGAAAATTGTCTGTAAATATTTCTACTCAGGAAAGTACAAAGTTGTTAAAGCAAGAAATATCAAAGGTATGCACCACTCTTGCCAGTCATATGAAAAGCTTGCTTTATAATGGATAAAATAATAATCTAGCAACTTATTCAAACCAGTTTAGCGCTAACATTTTTGTTAGGTGCAAAACAAAACTACATTTTGTATTGATGGTGTGCGTCTTGACTTTATCAAACAAAATGGAAGGTCTGTAAATTTTAAGTAGCCACGAAACAGTTGATATATTCCAGATGAAATTTTATCTTTTTAAACTTTGAAAATGGTAAAAAGTTAAAAAAAAACATAAGATAAGGGTGTGGTATTGACTTTTAATCTATTTTTGGCACTACTACATATTATTAACAGAAAAAGATGCTTTCTGAGTTTCATTAAGGTACCTCACATACCATCCCCAATGTATAAAAAATTAAGTCAACTGGATGTTTGAAAATCCTGATATTAGTTACATAGTGAATAGGACAAGCTTTCACCGATCTTGACCCGATTTTGACAACTTTTAGACTTGAGATGGTATACCTTGAAAATACTCTTTTTGCAAAGTTTTATTTCAATATATTCATTAGTGCTTAATTTGTATACTAGAAAGTCAAAAAATCAGATGGAACTTAAATTTGTCTTATATGGAAAGTAGCGTGGCTATAATCTGATTTCGACAATTTTTGCACTGTAATATAGAGAGGATAATTTTACTAACCAAATTTAGTTGCAATCGGGCAAATAGATTTCAAGATATAAGATTTCACCTAGAGGTGGGTGGTTCCACGCCCATTTTCTAAGTTTTGGTATTGGCTTTTATGAAGCTTAATTTTAGTAAGCTATGTGTCAAATTCAAAGTCAGTGACTTGTTTATTTAATGCGGTATCGTTTTTGGAGCATTTTTTAATGAAAACCGTTGTATGGGGAGTGGTCGAGGTTATCACCCGATTTCATCCATTTTTACGCTGATTTCTACACGTATCTTCGTCCTGCTCATATATGTATATATATTCCTTTATCTAACTCGAATAGTTTGTGGTGATATAAACAACCGTTAGGTTAACAAAACTATTATACATTGTAGCAATATGTTGCAAGAATATAAAAACTAAAATTTGGTTATTTGAATTTTTCACATAAATTTTGAGGTTACATGATAAAAGTGTTTTATGTTAACAACATGTTATTTGTTGACTTGTTGAGCAACAGGTACATGTTTATTTTTTAACACTTCAAAATTCAACCTCCAACTACTACTATTTTTTTGTCATTTTATCTTTCAAACATTTTTCATCTTACTATTGTTTTGTTTTTTTTTTTTCAAAGATTACGGACCTTGATCTAATACTAAACTAAAACTGGGAGCCTATTTTTTATTATCGGTTATAAATTTTAGAACAGTTAATGCCACAAAATTACATAAAGTTCGGTTGTCGTCAAACTTACTCATGCTTTTATTGCTTTATTTGAAGGCTTATTACCGAATGCACAAACCATCGCCAATGCAGTGCAAAATTCTAAAATAGGGTAGTTAAGTTAAAAAGCTTGAAGCTTAAATGTACTAGATTTTATTTCTATACCTTTCCGGTGTCATGCGCATTGAGCGCAGAATGTCAAAAGTACAATTGCAACTGTCAAATATGTCAAATTTGACATTTGAACAAGCAGGGAGAACAATACGCTCACATACCCCAACTCTTCATATATATTTATTTGCACTATAAACAACCCCCAAAAATGTAAACATCGATTGGTGAAGAAGCAATTATGAATTTTCTTTTGTTGGGAAATTTGTACATATATGGATTTTAAAGAAATTATCTATAGCACAAATGTCGCTTAAACTTTTGGTACAAATAAATACTTTAACAATTATGTTAATTGGAACGTCCGGCAAAGGGCTCATGCTTCTACAGCGCAATTAAAAAATACTCTCGCGATGTATTTGTGTGTGCGTGCGTCCACCCCCAAACTACAAACGCCAACGCTTTTACTCTCACTATACGAAATCTCCACACGCCAAAAGTCGGATGAAACGTCATGAAGAATTCATAAATGTAGGCTTAGCATCTTGACGCAGACACAGCATCAGTGAGTAATTCGGCGAAACCGACGGTCTATCGTTTTGGTAACATTGTAGGATCTAAATAAATGAAAAAATTAGTACGGAAACACAATTTTTTTTTAACAAGTTGAATTAGCGGTGACTAAATGTTAGCCTACTTCAACAAATTTTGCAAAAGTGCCGTTTATTTGTGTTTATTGTGTAACTAAATAGCACTGCATTGAGTGCAAATCTAGAAATACACCGCAAAAGTATAAATTAAATGTGAATGAAAATATGTGAACAGTAGACACGCACACAAATACATTATAACAATTCTGTATAAAAATCAATTGTTGTGAAGTGCGCTTTTAGGCGCTAGTGCATTGTTTTAAAATTTTTAAGCAGTGAGTTTAAAGATATTAGTGCTTGCTGATGGCCATAAAAATTAAAATTACTTAAAAAACTATGAGCATGAATTATAAAAGCGTGTTTGTACAAATTGTAGGATTTTTTTCGACTGCTCCACCTGCTTATACCGAAAAATTTAGACGAACATTTTGTATTAGCAACTATTTTGGAAACGAAAAAAAATTTGATAAAAATTACTTTAAAATATGCAGAAGAACTATATGTGGCATACAAAGGCAAAAGAAAATTTGTACGGAAATAAAAGCGGGTGCTCGAAAAGGGAGCTTTAAACAGCACCTTCACAAAACCATGAAGTATTGCTGTGTTGAACAAAAGGGGTGTTTCATCGACAGTCATACATATGTATATATTTTGCGAAATTTGAAATTGGCCTAAATGGTAGTGAGACAAAATATAAGAGAGTCTGTAATTGAAAGAACGTAAGCCTAAGAGAATAAGTTTGTCACACACTGCTCTTCTTTTTTGCCGCTGCGTTATAATATATTGGTGCGAGTTAAAAGTGAAAAGCTGATAGTAAAATTAGAAAATAAGTGAAATATAAAAGTTTTGCAAATATAATATGTATAATAGTGCAATTAAAGGAGAAACAATGACTATATAAGAATTTTTATATACAATTAAATTGCAGCAAACTCAGCAAGATGCACCTTACACAATAATTGTTCACTGGGTTTAGTCAAAAAAACTCATAAATGAAATATTTTTGTACACAACAGTTTAAAAACGCCATTTTTTTTTTTATTAATTTTTGGATATATTAGGTCTTAATTAAAAAGTTTGTGTCTTATTGATTGTTTAACTAAGCGAGTTTTTCAAACAATTAAAGCTGTTGGTATTTCGTTTTTTAATTAAATCTAACGCATACAATCGGTGCCACGCTTTTCCAAAATTACATGTACTCGAAAGACACATGTCTGCTAGAACTGTGTGTTCAAGCCATATATTTTACTCTAAAACGCCATTCCTATATGATTCTACTCTATTTCTTTTCATTGGTCTAAAATTCTAAGCTACTGTAGTATGATTATGCCGGCTTTAGCCTAACCCTACTTAATAGAATTTACTTTATCTACATTTAGGCTTTTTTTTTAACCCATAAGAAACAATAGCCAAAAGTGTGCTGATGCAGTAGTAACATAAATGTTAAAATTTCTTTGAATTCTTTTACACATAGATCAACCTTATTTTATCATATATTAATAGAACTATTTACAACAATATAGCAAATGAAAAATTAATTTACATAAGACATTATTTTTTTTAGAGCAATATACATATCAGAAATCATATCAGCTTTTAAAAGCAACAAATAAAATAAGTTTATCAGAGGAAGGGAAGTACTATTCGTAGCATTCCAAAAACACAAGTTTAAATATTAAAAAATTAAATTTAAAAAATCGTACAATTAAACAAACATATCACGCGTTGTAAGCTTTAATACATATAAAAATTTCAAAAAAGCAAAAAAAAAACTAAAAAGTAAACATCTTGACAAATACATAACCCAGTATAGTTATACATATGCATTCAACCGATTAAGTGGGGTATTCCCTGTTAACTTTTGCATAATTAAACTAGAGATTAACGTCGTGACATACAACAACGAAATATGTATCTTCGTTACGGAAAGCCAGCATAAATAACTGTGAAAATACAAAAAAAAAACATTTGAGTGTAAGTATCTGTGAGAACAATTGTAAATAATTTCTTATTTTGAAATAGATTTTTATATATATATATATATATATATATATTGTAGCAGATTACCACCTTGAACTATATTTGAATTAAATATATTTTTTTGTTTAATTGTAAATTAAGACTATATCCACTTCATCCTTGGCGATTCGGAAGCAGCACTCCGTTTCTTCAATTGAAAGAACCTATACTCGTAGTGCAGGATTGGAGGCTCGATTTTCTTAAAGTAGCGCCTTATCTTCACCGTAATGCATTCTATTATAAAGGTGTTTGAAGAATTGGAGACAGTTTAGTAAGTCTCACGGTAGTCGTTTTCTTCGAATAACTGCTTTAAAAGTCTTAGAAGGGCTCTCTTTAATGTTAGAAAATAATTGTTTAAAAATATTGTTACGGTTTTCTAACCGAGAAATACCAATATGAGATAAAAATTCTCGAAGCTTTGAGACATTGTTTTCTGGGATAGTACATAACATACTTTCTTTAAAGAAGAACCGGTATTATAGTAAAAACGGTATATATTTTTGTTTGAATATCCACTAATGCTTTCGATTAACTAGAGCAAATTGAAAATTTATATAGAAGGATCCCAAAGAAGAGCTTAGAAAAGCGTGAGGTTATTGCCTCGTTTACTTTGGATCTAGCAATCCTTGAAAGTGAAATCTATTAGACGTTTGAATTTCTTTGTTTGAAATTTGGAATTCTCAGATTGTGGTTCCACACTTCATTTAAACTTTTGGCAGAATAGCGACTGATAAAGTTGGGTAAACTTTGTAGCACTAAAAAACGAACATTTACGCTTCTGCTCATTGGCGTCTTTTCAAACTCAGCTAAAACCAAAAGAAATTGTCCAACAACGAAGCGATGATATCATGTTGGAATGCAAAACGGTTAATAGCGCATATTTGTAATGAAGGACGACAGTAAAACATCATAACAACCACAATAATTTTAAATATGTCGTTGATTGTTGTTGTTGCTTTAAGTATAGCCTTGTAATTGCTGTACAAAAGAAAGACGGTTAAAAGTGAAAATGTAAACATTCGGACGCCAAAATACCTTCACCCACTTTGCATTTTTTGGTTTTTTAGTGAGTTTTAAGTAGGTTTTGTGTGAAATTTGTGGCAAACGGAAAGTATGTAGCGCTGTTGCCAAGAATTTTTGAGACTTATTTACTTTGTTTTACCAGTTTCGCAGCGAATTAATGCGGCAAACCGCAATTGGTTGCAATTTTTCACACGGTGTGGCGCAGAAAGGTGGAATATTCGCGCAAATTGACGCTTAATGTGCCATAATTTATTGTGTTTTCTGGGCATAATATAATATATCGGACAGTCAGGTGACTGCGTCAATGAATGTCGTTTGAGAAAAGAAAGCACATATTCATATACATTTATTTTTAATTTTTATGTATTATTTATATGATGTGTTTGTCTTTTAATGAAGATTTGGAACTATAAGGTATAGTTATAATTATTAATCTTAAAATTTAGAACAAAATAATTTACACCGATTTTCTTTCGCGACGTAAATTTTTTTCAATGGCATTAAATCGATATTTTTGGACCCGGAAAAAAATGTATAAATATTTTCCGAGAAGTTTTCAACACATATCGACCCAATGTTTGCTCAATTGAACAGATAATTTAGCGATGAAATTTTCTTTGTAAAACATGAATTTCATCAAGATACTAAAAAAATTTGTTGCATATGGTTTAGAGATCTAATTTTATTGAACGAATTTAATGAAATAGGAAGCGAAGCTCTAAATAATGTTACGTGGTCTTTTAGAGGTGAAGATTTTTATACAGGGACAGCTCTAAAACTAACTGTAAAAGTTAGCAAATTTGTTTCACATTTGCTTTCAGTATAGCTTTGCCTAATTATCTGGCAAAGGCTTGCACATTGCAGTATTTGGAAAAGTTTTGCTTTCAGAAAAAGTTATTCGTCTTGTTAGAACTGAGGATGGAAGCAATGTTAATGACAACCTCTACAGAGATATTATTAATTACTTTCTTCGAAAAGTCATTATAAAATATTTAAGTAGGTTCCAGGTGAGATCTTCATTCCGACGAACTTTTATCGTACGAATCATATCAGAACAAGAAAAACTGTTAGCTTCAGACAACCCTTCACCCAATATGAAGAACTTAATTTTAATCGGTTAGTTTGTATGTCAGCTGTATGCTATACTAATCCGATCTAGACAAATCTTTCGGAGATTGTACCGTTGCTTTAAAAAATAAATCATGCCAAATTTCGTTAAGAGATTTTGTCAATTAAAAAACTTTTCCATATAAAGATATGATTTTGATCGGTCAGTTGCATGGCAGCTATATGCTATAGTAGTCCAATCGAAACAATTTCTTCGGCTATTATACCATCCCGTTAAATAATAATCTGGGTCAAATTTCGTGAAGAAATCTCGTCAAATAAAAAAGTTTTTCGCACAAGGACTATTCACGTTTTTTGTGTGCTCTTCGATTATTGAATTTTGAAAGAAATTGATCAAAAAATATGTATTACATTTTGCGTTAAAAATGGAATAAATTGCTCCAAGGCACTAGAAATGTTGACTGTGACATTCGGTGAGTCCACTTTGTCTCAAAAAAGTGTTTATAAGTGGTATAAGCGCATAGAAGGCCGAGAAGATAATGATGACGATGAGCATCCTGGAGGTGCGTCCACTTCAACATGCGATAAAAACATCGAAACAGTGAAAAAACTTGTATTTGAAAATCGTCGAACCATTATTAGGGCAGTTACATAGGATTTTGGCATATCTATCGTCTCATGCCATTCAATTTTCTCAAATGTTTTGGGCAACGTGTAGTAGCGTAGTTTGTACCGAAATTGCGATAATGCAACAGCTCACACATCAATACTTATTCGTCATTTTTTGTCCAAAAACAAAACCGTTATCATGCGTCAACCACCGTATTCAGCAGATTTGGCTCCCTGCGTCGCTCTTATGGGTTAATGACTGAATTTAGTATACTAAGTTTTAGTAAGGGTTCAATAAATAGTCTTCAATAGTTCAGTTGGGTTACCACGGTTATAAATTTAAGGGTTTATTTTAGGATCAAGTATCTGCGTATTTATACACCTTTTAAATATATGTTTGTGCAATGTATTATTTTCAATTTATCTAAATAACTACAATCTTCTCATTTTCTTTTAGCCCCTGCATTCAACAAACTCATAAATCACCATACATATCAAATAAGTAAGATCCTATTAGTTATTCATGAAGTTTAGGAATCTCTAACTTGCAAGCGAAATTATTTCCAAAGTCATTAGAAATCTAAGAAATATAAATCAACTCTGTTTGTTGATCCTAAAGTAGCAGCGTTACTTTATCGGCCAGTGACAAAGAAATTCTGCTTGAAAAAACAAAGTGGAGGTAAAGCAGCAACACTAACTTGGCTATTTTTATGAGTTTAGCTGTATCGATACAAAATGAACTTCAAATAAATTTTATGACTTTTTCTTACACTCCACTTAAAATTCTAATAACTTACATAAGGTATTCGTTTTTGACATTTCGAGTGTGACGGGTATTTTTGAATAGTTTTGCAGAAACTACTTATATTTTAGTGGAAAATTTGTTTGCCAATCACTTACATAAACCTTGTCAAGTATTGTAACTTAAAAAAAATGACATAAATTAATAAGCTACAACTACAACTTTTATATGAACAATCGACCTATTTATAAGCACAAGCAACACATGCTTATAATATATATTATTTTTAAGAGCAAAAGCGATTTAATTATATTTGGTCTGTCAACATAATCGTAATTTGCATGTAGACTACGCTTTTACTACGCCTTTTGTAGGTGGATCAGCCAGAGGACAGTTGTATGCCCACATGCAAGCGTACGCAATTATTTGATTTTCGAAATTCGTATATACAAACGCATTAAGGCCACGTTTGTGGGAAAACCTACAGTTTATCGATGATAGTGATAGGTAGGCCCTTAAGATACTAATTAATCAAACTCGCTTCAATATTCAGAGCTTTATTCAGCTGTAACTCTCCTACGCTGAATGTTGAAAGGCCTGAAAAGCGTGACATGTAGTTTCAGCCTCATAGGTAACGGATTATTTTAGACGTGTGGTTTTCAATGAGACAAAACTTTTTTCGGAGTTACTTCACTGTTACTTTACATACATATATACATACGTATACTCAGTTTGGTTTGCCATCTCATAATGAAGAGGCTCACTCTAGATTACTCAGATAGGGCAGGAATGTGGTAACTGCATCCACATGTTTGGCATATTCGCACTATCCTAGGGTAATAGAAATTTCGAAATGTACTGATGAGTAGCAGAGCAGTGACACGATAATTACATTGAGCTGTATGATTGAGGTATTATTGCCTTGATTCTTCTCAGCTTTATGCCAGTAATACAACTCTTGACCCGATCTAGGCGAAAGATTAACTATGATTTCTGGAGCCCTTGTAGTATTCTAATCAGCCTAAGTGACACAGCGTATTATATAACAATTCTACACATAATGCGTATGTTAGGCCTTAAAAGAGGCTTGTATTTTCGTATTCCAGTTTGTCAACTAACCTTCTTATTATTTCTTACTTTGTGTGGAAACGAAACGATTTGAGTTACTTTTGTCTACTCCCACACTAAAGTACACTTTCAGTTACAAAGTAAAAAAATAGCCCACTTTCGGGAATAAAATATTCAAAATATAATGCACAACTGAATGTATGTATGTACGAATTTATGTGTACACGGTCGTGAGAAATTTACTGTGGGGCGTAAAGCACCCTGCCAGTATCTCCATGATGCAAAAATAACCATGCAAAAAAATCAACAAAAAACCGCAAGTACATAAAAATGTCAAATAGACTTTCTGGCATGCCTAGCATGTTACAGTACATTATCTATAATGATTGTGTTGTTGGCTGGCTTCTCAAGGGTATTCACTCTGACAGACGCATAGGGATACATTTGATGATGAAAATGCAAATGTAAATACAGAAATGAACAAAACTTCGTGCTACATTAATTTGAGTTAAATAAAATTTTTGATTGCTTTGCCCACAAATACCTTTACTTTCATTTTAGTTTTCATGAACTTAGTATTTTAGGATAATTTGAATATAAAGAATATATTAAAGTTGCGTTAGCGGGCTCGCTCAGTGCAAAGCACCATTCCACTCTAGACTGAATGTAAAGTAATGCAAGAATTGAAGCAAATTAGTACGTATTCGATGCTGTTTAATTTTTACTTGCAAAACACAGATGAGCGATGGGTCGCAGTAGTTCTTTATAAGTAGTGTAGTCTGTCGGAGTCTTCCAATGATTTCCTACTACGTATCGTATCGCCTTTCGGTTTTCATAATTCGGGCTACATACTTATCCGGAATTATAGAATTTGTATGCGATGATTGATTATTGCAAGAATAAGAAAGTGAATAAGTAATAACGCTAAATGCGCTAGAGGCATATCAGTTGTACGCTCACATTAAAACTAGCGCCTAGAATTAAAAATCAAAGAGACCGCAAAACGTTGCATACATAGACAGTATGGTATGTATTTGAAAATGAAAATATAAAATCAAAAGTAAAAACAGTAATGTAAAAAAATCAATAAACTACTAAAGAATGAACGTTTACAATATGTGTACTTATGCGATTGATCCTGCCAGTGTTCTTCATATACTGGGTGTGTAGCTTTTTTTTAAATCCCTATGTAAGCCCATGAGACAGCACGAATGTTTGTTTGTCCTGAGCTTTTCAGAGATTCGCGAAAGGCTGCTTTGCGTTTCGTTGAGTCTTAAAAAGCCTCATAAAGGGAAGTCCGTAAAGGTCAAACCTCTTTTTGATGAAGACATCCAGGGAATTTTCGTTGCACAAACCTAAAGTTTCATTTACGGTGTGATATGGTGCGCCATCTTTTTGCAACTAGCAGCCGTCGCAGCCTTGCTTATCAAAACGTGTGTTGTGTACATATATTGAGACAACATCCATACCGGTTTCCAGGGACTGTTCCGTTTAATTGACAAACTATAGCCCAACCGTCCCTGTGCGGTCATGCAATGGCATCTCATGAATCTTGGAAGGATTTTGTTAGAATTGTAAGTAATATAAACACATTTTATTTTATTCGCAATTTAAATGACGCATCCTGTAAGTATACAGCCATTACAGTATCATTTAGTGTGACGCTCATTTTCCTGTCGTCAAGTTAATTGCTATTGACGTGGCGTCGCCATCCATCTCCAACCGCCTTCATGCACTTATTTCAATACCCCGCATTGTCCCTTGGTGATACGTTTCGGAAAATTGCTGTCTCAGTTGTTACTAATTTGCGAGAAATGCTGATGCTTTAATTATTTGTAAGACATCTTTGTTCTAGCACAACAACAATATGTTAATTGACACAAATTACCCTGTTTTCTCCTTTTACCTGATGTTTCTGATTTCCATTATGTTACATTACAGCGAAATCCTTTTGCTTGGTGCGCTTTAAAATTATTATTAATTGATATGATGGAAGGCATAGAAAATATTGACTTTACGCTTTTTCATTATTTTTAAGTACTAAATGACAACATTTTTTTCCTTTTAGGTCAATAATAATTTTAAGAGAACTTTAAGTAATTTTATCAATTAAAAACAATCCTTCAATAACTTAAATTTATTCGAGGTAGTGGGCAAAATCCAGTGCTTTGTGTGTAATCAGATTGTGTATGTCGAATTATTTAAAAAATTTGAAAGTTTTTGGATCATTTGTCTTCGAGTAATCAATAAAACAATTCTAAAAAACGTAAAAAAAAAAACTTTTATTTATTGATTGACGGTTGAATTGCCAACTCTCAAATAACAAAATGTGTTTTACATTTGCACTACGTTAGCAAACCTAAAAATTCTTCAATTTCAATTCTTCTTTTCAATTACTTAGTTGCCAACCCAATAGTTTGGAGAAAAACGCATTTAAAGACGAGCCGAATGAACTGAGCGGCCACACTTGGGAAGGCTGTAACTCACAAACTATGTGAAACTCGATTTAATATTACTGGTATGTTCTATTTAACGGTTCGATTTTTTTTAGATTTTAATCTAGGTGCAACCCTTAACCCTCAAGTCCTTACCGAAGATTCAGGAAATATTTTCTCATGAACTAGACTGCAACCAAAATGCAGTCAGTTGGCGAAAACTTTCAGGTTTCTCATTCTTTTCCTTCAATAAAATCTACCGAAGACATATAACGGAGATATCGTTAACGAAATGGAGTATCGCAATGCTACGTCATAACATATTTCCAATTGAAAAGTCTGGTGTGAGCTCAGCATAAATAGTGAACACGTATTCCCGTTAAATGCTAATATAGAATTATTGTCAGAGCTCTGAGATTATAGAACGCCGTAGAACACTTCGAGGAATAGAACTGAAATAGGGAAAAACAAAATATAAAGTCTAGTAAAACAAAAATCCATTATTTTTGCGTTATTATGTGTGAAAATATATTATTTGAACAATTCTTCTTCAATTTAATATTTAACAAGAAAAAACGTTAACGGCAGCTGCGCCGAAGCTGTAATACCTTTCACAGGTGCATATGTTATAGCGTAAAGCAGTATAAAAGGATTTTTTTCTTGATTTAGCAGCTATATGCTATAGTGGTCCGATATTGGTTTCGACAAATGAGCAGCAACCTTCGCACTCGGTATTTTTTCAAAAAAAAAAAAAAATCGTGTTTTCATTGCTCTCAAGATAAGAAATTTTAATTTAATTTTAAACTGCTTCATAACTGACAATCGAACTCACTACCTACCGAGTGGATACTCACACACCACAGGCATTCGACTACGCCGAACGTCAATAACTTGAAATACAAAAATAACCAATATTGAGACAATGCTTCATTGTCAGCCTGTCATTTTGTCACTCAACCAAGCAATCAGTCAGCTAATGTACCTGCCGATGCACAAACACAGTCTCATAATGCCAAGCGAATCATCGTACGACGTGTCTTTTAGTCGGTCGATCACCTCCTGGTCGTATCCACTACTCGCAGAAACTAAATGTGGGTTTAGCTAATTTTTTTAGTGTTTTGTCATTACCGTTGTTTCCATGGTGGCGGCATAAGTAAATACATAAACATAACATGTTGCCTTTTACATAAGCACATGCACTTAAATGTGTATATATGTAAAATCTTGGATATTATATACATAGGTATATAAGGTTTTTCCTTGCGTCCAGTTTTAGTGGAGTTTGAGATTCAGTTAGGTTTGCGTGTATAACATGAACGATATGCGCATTTTTGATGGTAAGCCTTGATGCCTTTCGTTTTGTACATACATATATATGTATATACGTCGCAGTCAATACAAAGCATTTAGAATACAAATTTGTAAAAGTTCCTTAGGGATTCAATAGTCAATATTTCACAAATATTTTCCATTTGCATACCAATACTGCTGGGTATACATACTTGTATATTAGATTTATTAGTCGAACTAGTTGGTTAATTTTTATTGGACGCATGTTAATGTTAATGAATTCGAAAAATAAACAGAAAAAACTACAAGCGATAAAAAGTCATTATCGTCCAAATAGGTGGGTAAAGAAAAATATTTGTGAAATTTCATACTCATCCAACTTAAATGGTTAGCTATTTCAGTCCTGTTAGTAAAATCAAGGTGGATTTTGTTACTTCAAGAGTGCGTAAAAATAAAATTTTTATATTTTAAACCCGATGAGGGACCGCAGTGTCATATTCGCTGTCTTCGATTGAACATTTCTCTGATCGCTTTTACTCTCTTCTGAAAGCAACTACAAAGTTATAAACTTCAAGCGAAGCAAGAGAGTATGCGGATACCTCATTGAGTTATAGTCCACTTTTATCTTGCTAATGCTGACCGTTTGTTTGAGCAACCGGTATAGTTTGTTCGATTCGTTGGAGAGCAAAGCTTGGCGTATCGAAGTCTGCTTTTGTTGATGGAAAATTAAAAAAGTACACATACGTCTTCCTAGCGGTGTGTTTGTCTCTTCTATCTAGATTTTTTTTTATTAACGAACAACTTTTATGCAAAAACTCATTTCAAGCAGGACAGTAAAGTTAAGTTGCATGTAACGGGAAAACCATTTAACTTGCACATTTGAACATGCAGCTGTGCGAAAGGTAAATACCGAATTATATATAAATTTTTTTTATAAATGCCTAGTTTCGAAAAGCCGTTAATCATCATACATAGTTGCATGAAGTAGTTTGAGTTTGAATTTGTAGTTATTACCAACAATACTGCAATAAATATACCAGTGTAATCACACATACATTTTTGTACAGTATGGCCAATAGCTGATTAATCGATCGAATTCACCGTATTCGGTTGGTATAGAAATTTGCGTGCTTAAGCCCATTTGTTTCGCTGAAGTCACGCCGAGACAATGATGGTATGTATGATGCCCCTTGGGAGTAAGGGGCCCGTTGTTGGTCATGGAAAAATATTTTGACACTATCTTTGTTTGACATGTTCGAGCTGGCGTTTCATTTCGCAGAGCATCGCGTGCCGATGCAATGCCGTGCTAAAAGCGAAATGTTTTCTAAACAAATTTATATTCTGCGGACGGTGACAGCTCTCACATGAAATGGCGGTAGTCGGCGGTGATCACTTTTAGTGCTTTTAGTGACTCGACGCTTAATAAATTTATACAACTACTATGCTTTTATGTGTTTAGCATATACATATATATAGTATGTATGTGGATATAATGCACGAAATGCAAACAAGCAGCGCCAGGATATCTGCAAATGAGAAAAGGAGGAGCAAACGTGTTTTTCTTCATTTTTCTTTTTAAGAGAGTTTTATTGATACCTGCAGCAGTTAAATGACTTTGTTTGTTGCAATGACATGACTGCAGTGTTGTAAATAACAATTTTATTGACAATAAAAACGCATAATAAAGCAAGCTATGGGAAGTTCAACGTGTTGTTGTGAAATTGCATTATGCAGTTAGGCGAAAGTAAGAAGCAGCATGTCATCAAAAATGTATAAAAATCTTGAAAGATAGTCTGCGCTACTTTAAAAGAATTTTTTTTTCAAGCGCAAACACTATTAGCTTGCAAAGCATCACAAAAACGTGGGTTTTAATTTTGTTAAAGATCAAGTCAAGGCTTGTCATAAGATACACACGTAGATACATACATACTTATGTAACAATGTATATTTAATGCACAGCATACAAGGCTTGAACATCAGCACACACATACATGCACGCAAACATACACATAAGCGCATCATTATATAGCAACGACTCATGCCGATGGCAAATTGACATTTTCACTAATTTCAACGTGAATAAAACCGCCATATTGTATTTGTACAACAACAGCTTGCCCTCCCGCTCCCCTTCAATTCGCACAATCGACTGCGCGCTACGACCTTGTTGCTGCGATCGGTGTGAGGACGAATAATTGCGGCAGGAAACTGCATTGTTTGATTGGCCCACATTCGTTAGCCAACATTAACCGACTCTACAACGATGTTGCGCTCGGCCAAGCATATAACCGTTATTGTATTTTGTCTATGAATATGTGCGCATGTGTATTTTCTGTAGAAATATACACATACATAGTGGAGGTGTACACTACTGAAAGTTAAAAGTGAAATTATGGCTTGACTCGGCACTCGAAGACAATAGCTGCTAGCGCTTAGTTATTCTCCGTAACGTCCAATAGAAACAAGTACAGCTGCTTATTCACAGCTCCACTAATACATGCATGGAAAACGTGAATTCACCACTAATGGCACTCCTACAAATGTGTCGTATGCACACATATACACACGCCTTGATTTGTTTTGAAAATTGAAATACTTTTACCGGGAATTATCTGACAATTAAATGAATTTCAAAGTGGTCTCAATAATTTATGGTCATGAAGAAAATGTCATTCAAATATACCTAAGCATATACAGGGTGTCCCAAAATTAACGCATGATTTAAAATTTGCCGCCATTTATGTAGTAAAGTGTTGACAACCCTAAAAGAAACAAATCAACAGCTGATGATCTAGGCTTAGTAAAAATGCAGCGCCACAATATAGAACAATATTTCAAAAATAATGAAAGCTTTGCCGCTGCAGTCATATAGCCCATGAAACACTTGAATTACTGCATGACATATTTCCAGGTCGTGTACTCTGTCTAGTTTTGATGATCAGAATTTGCCCCTATTTTTGTGTGATTTAACACCATTACATTTCTTTTCATGGGTTTAAAATCACAGGTCTATTGCAAACACGTGAGCTTGTAAAGGCGTGCTTTAAAGAAGCAGATTCAATGTTGCATCAACGAAATTCAGCCACATTTGGGCAGAATAGTCGACGACAAACGAGTGCGTTTGTGTATGGAAAGCCTTGGCGGCCATTTGCCCGACGAGTTACGACGTATTTCATAAAAAAATTACAATCGAAAGACTAAAAACTGTGTTTTCTATTTAAGTCCAATCGTGCATTCATTTTCTGATACCCTGTACATATGTACCATATGTAGTAGATATGTGAATTAATAAGTACCTAGTACATATTGGTACATGCAATAATTGTTCGATTCCGGAAAACCTTATGTGGTCTGCAATAATTTTCAAATAATATATGTACTTTTTGATGGCTGACGTGAACATTAAGCATTCAGGTCATTCTTTTTGTTACAGTTATGAAATATTTATGTAAGAATTCTCATCTGAATGTAACCATCCAACATTTGAAATAGGCTTGAAATAATGCCTTACTCAAGCCTAAATGGTAATAACAATTACTTCGTATTGAGGATATTTTATGATCTCGTCCTAAATACCTAAATTATGTTGCCAGAAATTCTAAGACCTAAATGTTTCAAAGAGCTGTGTTTTCAAAGCTCAGGCTAGACTGCATAAAGGATGATATATATGACGAAGATTTAGGCCACCTATCGGACACAATATACTTCGATTGTTTAAAAGGCAAAAGTGTAAAAAGTTTGCCACGAACTTTGTTACATCCAAAATTAAATGAGGCCCTATATAAAATATATACAAATGGTCAGCGTGTTGAGATAACTCGATTTAGTCATGTCCGTTTGTCAGTCTCTCGGGACCACTAGGCACATAGCTGTCATCAGTGGCGAATCCACGCGGAGAGGGGTTTTGAGAACCCCTGAAGCCCCCAAATCTCGAAGAATGATAGTTCGGTAACAATAAAAGATTGAAGAAAAATTTTTATCAGAGGAAGTATCAGGGAAAAATTGAAAGATGTTTTGTTTACAATGTCTAACGCGTCGAATGCGATTTGGAAATGCTTGCCTGAAGTTGGCTGCTTTCACATCTTAACCTTCATTCATCCAAAAAGATGTTGTGAATTTGCTGCTGGCTGCCATACAAACTAAATAATCAAAATCAAGCCCTGGCATAAAAAATTTTTGTATTTGAAGAGATATCTACACAAAATT